CCATGCGGCGCTGTTCTTCGGAGACGTGTTCCATCTCGCCCAAGTGTGTTGAGTCGAGCCAGAAGGACGTTGGGTCCCGATCAGCCTCTGTCTGAGCCGTTTAGGTCGTTATGGGCCTGAGACGTCGCACTCCAAGGGCCGAGGCATGAGCATCACTGCCTTAAGCTGAGCCCGGGGGCTCCCAAAAGGGGTCCCCCTCAGGTGGTCTTCGATAGATCCCAGGTGGATCTAACGGTTTCGTCTAGAACCAATCCCAAAGTCCCCTTTGGGTGTCCGTTCGAAGCGTGAGGGCGATCCCCAAAGATTGCCTTTAGTCGCGCCCCAGCAGTTATACTGCTGGCGATCGGGTTGCAAACGTCTCCGGGGCCTTAGGCGAGGGCGCCTTAGATCAGTGACGCCCCTACCCTTCGGGGTGATGGGCGGGAGAGAGACCTCATCGAAGACAGATAGTCTCCTGTTTCACTTTGCGTTTGAGTTCCCTTAGCTTGGTCAGCTCGCGGAGGTTTCCTCCGCGGCCAACGCCTGAGTTCCCCAGCCTGTTCCAGCTCATCCTGTCTAGGGGCGTCCCCCCGACAGTGGTGTTTGGGCCTTCCTGAGAAGCCAGTCAGGTAGTGCCCGTGTGTTCTGGCCTAAACAGGGGGTCCTGGGTCTTGCGGTTGAGGTGGTCCCTTCCTGACGAACTTTCTCCGTCAACGCCCGGTGTTGGGATGCGAGGGCTCGGGGAGTCGCGGTCTGTAACGTCCCCTACTAGGTCGACCCGTTTCTTTTCTGGCCCTTTTTGTTGCGAGTTGAGGGCTGGGTAGACCGGCTCTAGAGCTCATTGTTACAAAAATGGCAATGGGGACAGGAGAGGCGGTTTTGATTTAAGCAATAGAGTCTTTATAGATACAGATGCACGCGATGGAAGTAGAGGTATATTGCCTTTAAGACTGGGAACGAACCGCTGTCGAGCCCCAACAGCGGTAAGGTAGGCTAATATACTGCGATTGCTTGGCATACCGGCCGAACGGGCCGAGGGAACCGGTGCCCCGAAGCCAGGGACAGATAGCGATCATCTGTTCATCGTGATCAAACATACGGTAGTTTCTTCGGCGTACGCAGCGCAAGCGTTCAGCGATACCGCGATATCTCGATTCCTCAGCAGCTTGGGCGGTCGGGCACACCGGGGGGATTTTCGGGAGCTCGTGCAGAGCGTAGATCTTGTCTTCCAGGCGTGTTGCAGTGTTTCTGGGAGTACTCCTCAAACGTCAACGTGTGGGTAGCGAAGCCAATCTTCAGGTCATGTTGCTTAGCTAGGCATTCCTAGGATTACAGGTAGTCGCTAGCTGCGTCACGTTCAGCCGGATCGTCTCAGGTAAATCCCCACCCGCATGGTGGTTTCTAATAGTGCGTACTATCCCCTAACAGACATGCGCCCTCAAAAAGTAAAATGCCAAAGGGGTTCTTTCGCTTCCTTAGAGGTAGCCCGTGGCTATCAGCCCAGCTTCGGTCTATAAATCCTTTACCCTCTGCTCTAGAATTAGTTATAGCGTACGTTAGTATCGCCTTCTTCCCTATCTCTAGCGTAATAGGCAGGATAATCATGTTAGACCTCTAGTCACTTTCCTCGTGCACCGATAGTCCCTTAATAGACGCGGCAGATAATTAGACTAAGGGAAGTAGTTTCTTAATGCGCCGTTTAGGAGCCTGCACGCGACTTAGTTCAGGCTCACTCCATTTAACGAGTAGTTCGTCTTAGAGGGCGGGCTAGCGGCACAGCAGAGTAGTAGAGACCTAGGGGGGCTAGCGGGGCGGTAAGGCTGCGGGGACGCAGAGCGGAGAGCCTAGTAGGCGGCTAGCGGACTAGGGTAGCGTTAGTGCTAGTTAGTAATCGTTCCCGCGGACTAGCGGGTGTTAGGCTTAGGGCACTAGGCGACTTAGTGGGATTTTGATCCGCAGCAGAAACATTCGCCTCTCTCCCTCCAGCTGCCTAGTGCAAACGTCTTCTAAGAAGAGAGGTCTATAGGTTCGTACATCAGAGCTAGACTTAGTGGGCCAGAGCAGGGAGAGCTGGGTCGTTTGGCGGTTACGTTTAAGTAGACGGTAGGCTTAGCGGCTGCGGCGTAGCTGCTTAGGAACGCCCTAGCTATAGGGGTGCAGTTACAGGAGACTTGCTGTTAGTGCTGACGGTAGCGGTTATCAAGTTTCTAGAGGTAGCTAGCATACACGGAGAACTCCTACGAGGGCGGTAGATTGTGCAGGAGCATATCCTGCAGCTCGCGAGATATCCCTTAGAATAGCAGGGGCGTTAGGGTGCTCTCTAACATTTCTCCTTCTAGTGCTAGGCGCTAGAATTCCGCGAAGTAGGTGCTAAAATTAAGGTTCTTCTGCTTTAGGTTGAAAAGCTTGTTCTAAGCGTTCTGGGTACGGTCTGGGTCCCCAAACGCTTGTTCTAGGTATTTAAGCATCTGCGGGTAGTCCACGAACTAGGGGATTCCGTATCAGATCTTAGGTAGCATAAGCTAATAGGCTCTTCTAGTTAGGCGTCTAGCGACGTAGGTTATCCAATTTGTAGCTAGAGGGAAGCGGTTAGCGTTAGCAGTCATCTTACCATAGATCTGCTAGACGAAGCGCCAAAGGTCGTCTTAAGTTCCATTAAATTCCTTTAGGTCAGGTATTTTCTCGCTGAGGCTGGCGGTTCCGGAATGTGGGGCAGTAACAGGCGTAGGCGGTCTCGCTAGGTTATCTGCACGAGCTTTAGTAGTAGCTCGAGGGGATAGGGTAGAGGCGCGGGGGGTCTGTACAGCGGGGCTTGCGGCAGCAGCAAGGTGAGATTTCTCGATCTCGAGCTGGGTAATCTGCTTCTGGTCGGCGGCGAGTTGCTCCTTCTGGTAGCGGATAATTCCATCGCGCTTGATAACAGAGGTCTAGAGCTCTTGCTCAGTGGTGCGCGCGTCGCTTAGGGAGCCCTCGAGGCTCTGCAGGTACTGGTGGTTATTGCGCAGGTACAGCAGCCAGGCATTGGGGTCTCTCTGCACCTCAGCCACAAGGGCTTCGGCTGAGTCTGGGGTTGCGGGAGGTTCAGGGCGATCCATAGCGGGCCTCGCGGGGACGGGCACCTATAGATAGGAGCTACGTAATGTCACAGGGTCGGCAGGCAGGGAAGGTAGGTGCACGTGATCAGTATATTCACTACGATATCGCTAATAGTACGGGGTCAGGCTAAGACAAGGACGTAGCTCAAGGAGCGTACGACAGGGCGCGTTCGCGCAGGAATTTCAGCGATCGCGCAGCTGCTCGCTTAGCAGCTTGGCGCGCTCTAATAGGCTATCTAGGTCAGCGCCGTGACAAAACAGAAGAAACTACAGCCTAGTAATCGCGAGTAGGTTACCCTAGTACAAGGCGTCGCTGCGACAGGGCGCGTTATCCTACCCTTCCTTATCTTTGCAGGCAAGGTCCTTATTACCTCTTAGTTCGCAGATCTACCTCGTAATTAGATTATTACTGTCTCTCCTACTAGCTGGATTAACAACGACCTCGCGCTTGCGTAGCTTAAGCACTTTAATGCCTATACGAAGGCGTCTTCTGCTAGGGCGTACAGGATGCTTATTATTAACGGCTATAAGAGCTACTGCTTAACAGAATTCTAGGACTACTGCAAGGAGAACAAGATTATCGCTCTCTGCATGCTATCTCACTCGTCGCACCTCCTGCAGCCTCTTAACGTTGTCCCCTACTCGCTGTTAAAGCGCTACTACGGCGATAGGATCTTGCTCTTAGCACGCAGCCGCATCCACTATGTTAACAAGGAAACCTTCCTACTAGCCTTTAAAGAAGCTTATAAGAAGACCTTTACACTAGAGAACGTTCGCGCAGGCTTTCGAGGTGCTAGACTAGTCCTATATAACCTAGAGGCTGTGTTATTAAAGCTAGATGTGCAGCTGCGTACGCCGACGCCGCCTGCACTAGGCACTGTCGTCTAGGAGGCGCAAATACTACGCAACGCCTGCGAGATAGAGGCGCAATCTACGCTAATTCGAAATCGCGTGCAAAACTACCGCAGGTTACTAGCAAGCTTATTAGACGAGCAGGTTAAGCAGCTAAGTAAAGGCGCTTAGCAGATAGCTTATAGTATAGTGTTAGTGCAGGAAGAAATAGGTCGCCTTCGAGACGCTGTTGACACGCTTACAAAGCGTAAGACTCGCAAAAGGCGGTACGTACGCGTAGAGGAGACTCTAACAGTTAGTGAGGTATCTAACTTAATTGCTGCAAAGGAGGGTAGTAGTCGTAAGGAGGGCGAGACGCCTGCGAAGAGGGTGCGCGCAGAGAGGCGCTGCGGCCGTTGCAGCGAGATTGGACACAACTCCCGCACCTGTAAGGTAGAAATATTAGATGTAGATAATAGCAACGCTTCTAAATAATGCTACATTATTGTGTATAGTATAATAATTTGTTGTAGTGTTGTACTGCGTCGCTACGCGTGCGCTGCGCTGGTGTTTCGTGGGGCGCTCGCTTGTGAACCACGTTATACCGAAACAGGACAAATCGTATTGCGACCCGCAATGTCAAATCGCACTCTGCCCGTATTGTTTGAATCACACAGTGACTCGTAAAGCATCATTTGCTAGGTTTTTAGTTGAGTTTAGGAGAAAAAGAGGTTTTATAGTAAGTAAGATGAGGAGTGAAGATGTTTTGTTGCGCAAAGACGGATGTGGCTGCCGTGTTCGGGTGGGACATCGTTATCTGCTGTGACATCATTGCATGGGTTCAAGACAGAGGTTGCTCCACGCATATGCCTAATGCGGTGAGGTTGCAGATAACTCACGTCACTAGTTGTCGTCGCTCTGATGTTGACTTTTTTTCAATTAAAGTGGTATATACAGTTCTGAGTCCCAGGAAGCTGTCCCCAATGCAATGCTGCTGTGATATGATGCTCCATGTGCGCCCTAAACTACTTGCGATGGCTACTCATTGCCTACGACATGCCCCTCATACATCGTTCACTCCTGCAATTTATGCATCTAACCTGTGCTGTTCTTGGGCGCGCTGCCTCCACCGCTGCTCTTCTTGTCCGGTGCTCCTCCGTTTCCGCCAACATCGGGGCTGTTGGGGGCGCTGATGTCCTTGTTTCCAGGGCTAATGTTCAGACTGTTCTGGTGACCGCCAGCCTCACGGTCTGCTGTTGCCTCCGCCTCCTCTGGGCTCGTTTTCTTGGGGTCGAAGGCAGCGTCTGAATGTGCGGCGCCATCATCGGAGCCGGACTTGGAGTATTCGGTTGATCGGGGGTTCAGCGAGTCTTTGTCTTGCGCGTCTTTTTGGGCGAAGCATGCTGGTGTTGTGCTGAGGAAGCGAGGGTGGACGACGGCAGGGCGGGTGAAGTTGGCGCGTTGTACAGTGCGTGCGGGTTGGATGCGGAACATGGTGAGGTTGTAGTGGGCGATAGGTCGTGGATTTTGGGGTTGCAAAAAGGTTCAATTGTGATACAAGAGATTGGAGGTCGATTAATTGCGGGGTCAGCAGCAATTGGAGTGTCTTAAGCTCGCGGTGACGAGTTGATGTGGTAGCTCGAAGCTTGTCAACGGACCCTCAGCCTGATGTCAATTCCACCCAGTGCAGCCAAGGCCACTTTCCACGTGACATGCGACGCAATCATCTTCTCAATCACACGTACCGTCTTTTTCGTGTCTGTCTTGCATGTCGCATTGTGTCGCACGGTTGGGTGCGGGTATTATAGACAGAATTATTAGAAGAGAGTGTATGGTTAAGCTGCGCCACCTAGTGTTGGGCCAACCTTGAGGTGGGCCACCCCACCAAGATCGTGAGATATTCTTTGAAGCTGTACAACACCACTATAACGTCGTCAATATGGATAATCGTGAGGTCGCAATACAAAATGCTATACGCGATCTTCATTCTGGTGTTTTTAAATCCCAGCGAGAAGCGTGTCGCGCCTGGGGCGTACCGCGATCAACTCTACAGCACTGCCTCGCTGACCGTGCGCCCAACTCGACAGCTCACTCAAATCAGCAGCGATTAACTCCAGAACAAGAGGAGTTTCTCGTCGGTTGGGTTCTCGATGAAGATCTTCGCGCGCAGCCGCCTACGCACTCACGTATACGAGAAATGGCGATCCGGATCCTCCATATGAACGGCGACGACGAGCCGCTAGGTCAAAACTGGGCTGCTGGCTTCCTCCGGCGCAACCTACGCGTACACTCGATCATAGGTCGAAAAATCGATGCCTCGAGGGCAACCGCAGCCAATCCTGAGTCAATTCGCGAGTTTCTTGAGCTGTACGAAGCCACCCGACGCCGCCTCGATATACAACTTCGCGATACCTACAATATAGACGAGACTGGAATCGTGCTTGGAGTATGTAACAACTCGCGCGTTATTGCGTCAGCATCTAAGCATAAGGCTTACGTCAAATCACCAGAGAATCGCGAGTGGGTTACAATAATTGAGTGCGTCTCGGCTGACGGGTGTACGCTCCGCCCAGTGGTAATCTTCAAGGGAAACCACGTCCTCACGAGCTGGTTTCAGTCGCAATCTTTGCCTAACTGGCTTTTCACGACCTCACAGAATGGCTGGAAACGCAACAGTATAGGTTTAGAGTGGTCACGCAGTGTTTTCCCGCCAGAAACTTCATCATCACCACCCCGCAATCGTCTCCTAATAGTTGATGGGCATGGCTCCCACGTTGATATCGAGTTTATGTGGAGTTGCTATAATAATAACGTACACTTACTCTACTTACCAGCTCACGCCTCCCATCTTTTACAACCACTAGACCTCCCACCGTTCTCCGCGATCAACGTGGGTGGCAAACGTCCCGAGATGAAAGCACCAACCCGGTTCACTTACATGCCCAATTACAGAGAGTCGTAGCATTAGGAGAACCGGAGAATGACATGGTTTCGCATCACGGATGGGGTCTCGATGAATCAGATGGAAGTCAAGGACATGAAACCCCACCTTCCGCATGGAGTGACCCACGACCGCCACTTTTGAGACCGCACTACTCCGCGCCGAGTGACAACGATAGACCAATAGCGCGACCATCGCGAAACACACCACTGCGAACTACTAGCTCGGGAGATTACACCCCTTTCCACGCGCCACGATACTCCTCTCACGACTCGGACCTGAGCTCATACAACCACTTCATCTCCAGGCCTGCAGCACCATTACCGACATTAAACATCGCCGAGGTCGCGCACGGATGTCCGCCGACCACTCATGGCATGTTCTATGGAGAACAAGCGCATATGGGATACCCGGTCGTTATACATCCCTCGACTATGGGTTCGTTGTCCGCACTTACGCCTCTGGCGGAGAGCATCAATCAGACTGCTATCAGTCAGTTCGATCGACAGACTAAAAACCTAAATAGGAAATCCCGGACGGAAACTAGCCTTATTAGGTTTTCAGTCTGTCGATCGAACTGACTGATAGCAAGTCTGGCATCAATATGGATGATCGGAGTAGATACATGGGCAGTGAAGGGTTTAGGTAGGGGAGCGTGCAAGTGTCACGGCACTGCGGAAGTCACTTTGCAGGAAGCAATTGTTAAGGCCATATATCTTCGGCGTCGCAAATGAACCACACAGAAAAATACTCAACGTAGAACCAGTGATTCCACATGTCCTTCATCTCGCGTCTCGCGTCTCGCAATCTCGGTTCAGCATAGCGTCGTGTGAGTCAACAATACAATATGCCCCCACCAAAAGTTACAACATCCACCTCTACTTTCCTCCATTTCCTAGTATAAGATGCCCCGTGGTGTCGACCCCTGGTTCATACAGTCGCCCCAGTCAGTACGATGTCAGCAGCACCAACTCAAGCTTGCAGTACATCGAACAACCACAGGGCCCAGAATTGCGCAACCTTTGCGGCAGGATCAAGATACGAAGTGCCCGGCATACCTCTTTCTCCATCATCAGCATAGCAGCTACTATCTCGTTTGGCCTTACGTGCATTCTCTGCAGCTGTGCCATCCGGCCGTTGTTCACTTGGACTCAACGCCGCACAGGGCACGGCACTTACAAGACTCAAGAGTGGACTGACTCATCCACATTCCAGTTGCAATGCATGGCAGCTGAAGGTAAAGGCATCGGGCCTTGGAAAGGCAAAGAAGGCGACGTGCCGACCTTGGTAGAACCGGAATTTCGGTTCAGCTTAGCTGATGGACGACAAGATAGCAATGTCGAGAGGAACTCGGACTTCGTTGGCAACAACGGGTATGGAGTTCAATATCAACCTCTGAACAAGCGCTTAAGCCCTATCCCAGGGCTCTAACTGGAGTCAGGGCTGACTCTAGTTATTTCGGTGCTGAGATGTACACATTTCCCTGCGTAGGCGACATCACGTAGGCTGATTCCAGTAAACTTCGCAGGCTAGTCCAGTTAGGTTCCCGCAGGCCGATAGCTCTAAAATTTAGATATGTTAATTAGAGCGCTGAGTTGCACGTTAACACGAATTTGCAGCCCTGTAGCTGATAGGGTTAATAGTGTTAGGGTTTCGTGTTCGGAGGTTGGGGTTAGGGTTATGGCGTCGCGATACCCCAAACCCCAGGGTTCGGAGTCGTTCCGAGATAGCGAGCAGCGACCGCTAACGCTAGATACGCGATTAGCTGCATCACGTTGTGAAGATCGTCCGAAGATGATCTAGGGTTGGTTCTCGGGGAATGAGTGGGCGACGATGGACGAGAGGGTTGTACTAGCACGATTAGTAGATCGATATAATAGTACGGGGTGTGTTAGCACGATTAGTAGATCAATGTAATAACACAAGGGGTTTTAAGAATCAAGTAGTAATCCTTAGATTGAACTATAAGTCGAAGTTGAACACAATGAGCTGTAAGAGCTCATTGCCTAGTACTATATACTTAATAAATGTCCTACATGTTCTACATGTCCTACATGTCCTACATGTCCTACGCGTGGTACATTGTAGTACTCCGTGGTACATCGTAGGACACACGTGACTTTGTCCTACAGTAGCTTTCCGCCAAGACCGTGGGATCACGTGCCCTGCGGGGTGGCGTCATCTATTGGCCCTCAAAGTGCTGACCTCCAGGCCGACCCGCCTGGGTGTTTCCTGTCATCCTTTTCATACATAGATTGCAGGTTCCCTTCCTTCAGGTTCGTAACACTATCCCCCTCTTCCGCATTCATGTCCTCATAAACTAACCTAATAGTTTCCCGCAGTACCGCTCATCGTCACATCGTTAGTGATCGCATAAACCGTATCAGAACACTCGCAATAGTCGCTTGTTAATATTGCGCAAAGAAAAATTTAGAGTATTAGATGTCGTCTTTAAAGAAGGAGTGTAGGAACTGTCATTGGAATGGTGTGAGGAGTCCGTGCGTTCCGGTAGAGGTTCCCTTGCCGGATTTCTCGAAATTAGATAAAGAGCTAGCTCGCTTGGAGCAGCAGGAGGCGGATGCCAATTAGGCCGAGGCAGACGCGTTGGACGCTCTGTTAGCGGCTCGTGCGAAAAAGGATCGTCTCCGTAAACAACAAAAGGTGTTAAAGCGTCGTGAACAATAGTGGGTTAACGAGTCTAGGAAGTTTGTAGAAGATATTAAAGCTCTAGAAGCGATTGACACGGTCAATCGGGAAATGGGCCTTCTCGAGGATAGCATAATGCCTGGTACTCTGGCGCTTGACTGGAGTGCTTTTATGCCGTCTGTTCTCGAGGGCGATTTGGGCTTTGACGAGGCGTTTGGTGCTTCGCATACTGCGCAAGCAAGTGTTAGCAATTCGTAAGGTTCGTGTCCAGTTCCTATGTATTGTCGCTGTCCGGATAGTCTAACTATTTAACTAGGTATTCTTTGCTGTTGCCATTGTTTCGATGTGCGAGGATCTTCTCGACTTTAAAGACGTTGTCTTCTTCCGTTTCGAAATAAAAGGTTTTTTGTAGTAGCGTTTCTAGGTCTGCTGGTTCTAACATGTTAATATAGAATCTTAGGTAGATTTTTGCATCAGGTAGAAGGTCGAGTGTATAAGTAACTGGTCCCTTCTGGTTTAGAATCAAAACGGTCCAACCTTAACGTAGTCAAGTCCCTTGTTTAGTTGCTTAGTGCGAAGGTTCTTCGTAAGCAAATAAACTTTATCCCCCTTCTTCAGCTGAGGTGCCGTTTTTCGTTTCTTGTTAACATATAAGATGCTTTGGCGTTGAGCCTTCTCGAGTGTAGCTTTAAGCGACTTGTGTACTTTCTTTAGCTTATCGGCTGTGGCGATAGCTGCTTCCGTTTTCAGACTAGGAAATGTACGTGTAAAGAGATTTGGGTGTCTCCCGTGGTTCGCGTAGAACGGAGTCTGTCCTGTAGACTCTGAAAGCTTGTTGTTGTATGCCATTTGTGCTATAGGTAGTAACGATACCTAGTTGTTTTGTTGTTCGTTGACATATATTCGTAGGTAGGCTTTTATCGTGCGATTTGTTCGCTTAGTTTGTCCGTCTGTTTGCGGGTGGTAAGCTGTCGATAGCTTCCGTTTTATTCCGATTACAGCAAGTAAAGTAGTCTAAAAGTTCGAGGTGAAGAGCTTGTCTCTGTCACTGATGATTGACTTTGGTATGCCGTAGTATCTGATGATTCGATCCTTAAAGATGTGTGCGAGTTGTTCCGCCGTGTAGTCCTTTCTGAAGGCAATGTATTCGGCTTGTTTCGTGAATCGATTAACGACTGAGAGAATTGCGTCGTAGGATACTTTAGTGACAGGGTCTCTTGAGACTAGTAGGCCTGTAACAAAGTCTATAGAGATGTCTGACTATGGTGCGTCGGGCAACTCCATTGCTTGCATTTCTCCGTAAGGTGCGTGGGTACTGTGTTTGTTCTTCTAACAGTCTGCGCACTTGGCGATAAAGGAGGCGATTTTGTCCTTTATTCCTGGAAACTCGTAATTCCGTTTAATGAGTTCTATTGTTCTTGCAATACCAGGATGCCCATGTACGGGGTCGTCGTGGTGTTGCGCGATAATTGCTTCCTGCAATTCTTCTGGTACTTCGTGTGCGATTGTCATCATTAGGTTGTTCAGCGTTTTAGCTGGTCCTAGTAATCCGTCCTTGTTGACCTTGAGTATCGCGGTGTTGATAATTTCCTTCGTTCCGGCGATATCGTGTCTTCGGCTAAGAGCGTCGGCTCTGCCGTTGTCTTTTCCTAGCGTATATACGATCTTAAACTTGTATTGTCCTAGCATTTCTATCACGGTTTAAGTAATAGGCTATTAGGCAGTAGAATTTAGTAGGAACACTGAAGTTGAATTGAAGTAAGTCTACGTGTTGATATACCAGAATGATCGGATGTCAGCAGGGTTATGGTGAAACTCTGTTCACATAGGACCGAATACTTATCGGACCGAGCAAGCTGTACGTAGACTGCGACACACCCCCCAGGTCTGGCGGCAATAACTAAACAAAATGAGGGTGGTCAGGCGAAGTTAAGTCGCCAGAGCTGTAACTAAACGTTGTTGTAACGTGTAATATAGACTGGAAAGACGCGCTAATACTAGTGCGGGAATAGGACATGCGAGTCCTTAGTGTTTGAATGTTGCTTAAGGTCTT